TTAAAATAATGCTATGAAAGCCTAGAAAATATTCCGCATAATTCACTCCTGCCCTTTGGACCACCCCCGGCCACCTAGAAGCCATGACAGCTGACGCCCGAGCCAGACTCAGCTGGCCTCTCTCTCCTGTCCCTTCTGCTCCCCTCAGCCAGTCCCCAGACCTGGGCTTCTAAACGTTGCCATTGGACATCAAGAGACCCCTGGGGACCTCTGCGTTTCTTGTACTAAAGTTCCTCCCAAAAGTTTGTAGTCCCTGAAGTTTGCTTTGCTGACTTTTAAAAACCACTTTTCCGATGCATTCTTAGACGAGAACGGAAGATGCGTCAGCATCTCAGGGAGATCGAGGGCACAGGTTTTGAAGTCAGACAGACCTGGCTTGAACCCCAGCCTTATCTCTTACTAGTCATGTAACTTTGGACAAGTCACTTAATTTATGTCACCTATAAAGTGGAGCTGTGAGCAGCCCAGGGTATGACAACTGTAAAATGCTTAGCCCGGGGCCTGGCATAGAATAAGAGCTGACCAACCAGGATGGGGGTGGTGATTCTGGTTATTACTGCTGCTGTTGGGGTTTGGACACGGTGGAGGGCGAGGCTCCCCACTCATGGTATCGCGCTCACACATGTTAGAAGCAGGTCACGTGAATGGGCTTAGAGCTATCATACCCTGTGGAAGAAATCCTAAGGCCAACACAAAGATTGCGTCCCTAAGTAGGTTTGTGGATTCCCACTGTTGCTCAGGTTTTCCAACTTTTCCTGATTTTGCTACAGAGTCCAGACCAAAGGCTCCCCGACTCTCTCCCCCTTTGCGTACCGTGAAGGCTTCAGGCTACAACAGCGAGGCCTGGCTTTTAGAAGCACAGAGAGGATCAGGTGCACAGAGCTACTCAGGACTGGAAGGTTCTGAGAAGCCCCGAGAAGCCTGTCCCTTGTGTTGTCGAGATAACGCAGCGCCTGACCTGGTCAAACAGAAACCTCGCTGGGACAGGCACATCCCACATTCCTGAGGGCGACTCCCTGCGGGCGTGTGACCTTCCCATGCCACGCATCCCCTCAGATGGCGGCCAGAGCTCCTTGGTGATCTTTTTTCCGCCCCTGGAGAGAGCAGCCCAGCCCTGGGGAGAGGACGTGGGTTCTGAAGTCGGGAGAGGTAGGTGTGCCCCCTGCCTCCCTGCTCTGCGGGTTTCCAGCTCTGGGAGTGTGGCTGGTGACCTCACCTGCTGACCTTCACCCCGGGGAGATGAGAGAGGAACCTCTGCCTCCGGGGATGCTGGGAGATGGAACGCAAGGGCCTCCACTAACTGCCCCCCCTTGACCCTGACGGCTATAAAGACAAGGCTTGCATTCTGTCTAATGGAACTTCTTAAGAAACTGATGATGGCTCTTTTATTAATGATTTTCAAAAAGTTACTGAGCCTCCATTGCAAGAATTAAAAGGGATTAAGTGGTTCTCTCTTCAGAGACCATCTTTTCCACTCTCCTCATTTTTTAGGAGAGTAAACTGAGACCCAAGGTCACGCCAAGAAGATAGTGTTGGTCCAAGGACGGGGGGCGAGGAGGAGGCGGATCTCAGTTCGGATCCTTCACAGCACCAAGAAAAGGGAGAAAGAAATCAAGACTTTTTAGCACCAAAGTTAATTAAGTCATTTCTCTTTCGCCTTCTTCTTATTGTTCCTAGAAGCAATTATGTCTCACACCCTCTCTCCCAGCTCCAGCTACCACGTAAAACCGTCACAGATTAAATCGCATCGTTCAGCCATTTCATTAGGGAGATTCCAGCTCTCATTCTCGGGGGCATCTTTCCCTCTTCTCAAACAAAAGCCTCTTTCCTTAACTCCTTCCTGGAGACTAATAGGAAGGCTGGGAGCCGAGCTAAGGGACTATTGAGACCAGATAGGTTTTTCTGCACAGCCCGGGGTATTATGGTGGGCTCGCAACCCAGCCCCAGGCTCTGCTCGGCACCTGCACCCCGCCCCGCAAGACAGAGACGTGGGGTGTCAGTGCAGAAGAGCCCAGGCTCCTAGAATTCATCTCGAGACCCCGGGTATGTGGCTTTTCTTGGACGGTGCTCAATTTTCCCATCTGACAAATGCAAGTTTCAAGTCTCTTGTTTTCGTTTGCCCTGTGCCGGGTTCCGTGAATGTCCCCCAGAAGGGCACATGGATGCTCGCAAAGAACTGCGAAGTTGTTGGGAAAAGAAGTGAGGTCAGAATTCACTCTGACAGATGCCAGTCTTTTCCCGAGGGGTTTTCTGGACTTGGGATGAGATGGATGTGATGGCCACAGGCAGTTGCTTGGAAGTGACTCAGAGATGGGGTAGGGGTGGGAGGGAAGCTGAGACAGGCTGAGAGGGCGCTTGCCATGTCGGGAGGGGTGACAGATGACTCCCCGAGTGGGTGTCGCGGGAGTGGGTGAAAGGCAAAATCCCTGGTGTTTAGTTGATCTAGGACCATGTGTCGGGCCGCAGGAAACAGAGGGGCATGGTTAGGAGAGTGGGGGACCGTGCGGGGCACTGCGGTGTGGGAACTCAGAGGGTGAGAAGGGAGGCCAGCACACACGTCTCAGAGTTATCTCTGCATGGCGGCCTGCCAGGGCCTCTGCTCTCCCTGTCCTGGGAGCTTTCTCCAGAAGCCCAACGGCCTTGCTGATGACAGACAAGGAGGCTGAGGGACTGGGGTGAGCGGTGGGCTCCGGGAAGGCACTGGGGGCAGAGTCGGGGCGGTGGGAGGCCTCCGCGGGACATCTGTGCACACCGTTCGGGCTTCCAGCTCCTCGGAGGCAGAGGCTGCTTGCTTTGCTCCTTGCTCGGATGGATCTAAGGTGGGCGCACGCAGTCCCTGTCAGGTGGGTGGGACCACATGGTCCTGCCTTTCCCCTGGTACTGGCTCAGGGCCCAGCTCTGGAGACCCTTGGGAAGTGTCTGCTGACCTGCAGGCAACGAGGCCTCTGTCATTCTACCAGGCATGGGTTGTCGAGCACTTTTTGGAGCATTTTTTCTTGACTGCATACACCAGGGCGGGGGCCGGACACGGAGAAAACCAGTCCCTGCCCCTGGAGCCAAGTGATGCTGTCAAAACCTGCTTGGCCTGCAGGAAGGGTCCTGTCAAGGTCAAAGGCATCCCCTTGGCTGTAATTAGAGCAGGGTAGGCAAGATTTGGAAAGAAGGGCCTGAGCCTTGAATTTGGAGCAGCCCACCCTTCAACCACTCCCTCAGCCCGTTGTTTCTGGGCACGAAGATCAGCAGGATCAGAGGAAGATGGAATTCTTAACTTTGAACATGGGGTCTGTCCCAGACGCACTTATGAGTTTATAGCTTTCGCAAGTCTCCTAATTGTCTTGGGAGCAGCACAGATGTATTACGATCTATTAGTCTGGGTTATAAGTGCTAAACTATTCATAAAAATATTTAAAATATATCAAGTTTCAAAAACCACTCATTTTGGTTTTCCTCCTTTCCTAACACACAAAGTACCCCACTTCAACCCCACCTCTCCCCGATAGCCTTTGAAAGCCTTGCTCTGAGAGCACAGAGCGTTCCAGGGCCTGAAGGCCGAGGCGGGGTTGGATTGGCCGGTTCGTGAACCTTTCAAACTCCTAGGGCCTTGCTCCTAAACTAGAGACAGAGAACGGGTAGAGCACGGGTTTCTAGCTACACTGGACGTGGCCGGGGACCTGCGCTGTCTGTCCTCTTTGTCCCCATGAGACGGGAACCGCTCCACAGGCGTGGTCTTCTCTGTGCGCCAGGTGGCCTGGGAGGACACTGTCATTCTCCAGTCATCTGAGTTCCTTTCTAAAGTACTCGTACGAGGGCCCAGAACATCAATGTTTATCATTACGAACAATCAGAAAATGTAGTGCAAATACCATTAGCTAAATTTAGATTTTCTGCCGGGCCATGTTGCTAAGTGCTTCACGTGCTTTATCTGTTAATTTAACAGCTGCAACCTGATGTTGTTTTATTATTATCCCCCCAAAACAGGCAGGAGAAGATCAATAGCTTGCCCAAGGTCACTAGCGTCTATGTAAAGAGCCAGAATCTGAACCATTACGGAACAAACCAGAGACTTAGCATAGGAGGTTCAAATCCCAGCTCCACAGTTATGTGCTTGCTGTGTGACCTTAGACAAGTCCCCTACCCTCTCTGAGACTCAGTTTCCTTCACTGCAGAATGGGATTAGGGTGCAGGGACTTTACAATGATCAAAAGCATACCGTGAAATCTATACAATGGAGTATTATTACTCAACCATTAAAAAAAAAAAAAATGAAATCTTGCCATTTGCCACAACGTGGCTAGACCTGGAGGGTATTTTGCAAAGCGAAATAAGTCAGAGAGAGAAAGACAAACGCCACATGATTTCACTGGTATGTGAAATCTAAAGAACAAACTAAACGAGCAAACAAAACAGAAACCGATTCGTAGGTACAGAGGATGAACTGACGGCTGCCAGACGGGGCAGGGGTTGAGGGACTGACTGCGGGAAAAAAGGCGAAGGGATCAAGAAGCACAAATTGGCAATTACAAACAGTCACGGGTGCGTGAGCCCAGCGTGGGGAACATGGGCAAAGCTATTGCGATTCCCATGGATGGTGTCAGGCGGGCACTGGAATGATGTGATCACTTTGTAAGGTATATAAATAAACGTCTGGTCACGAGGTTGGACACCTGAAACTAATATAACAGTGCATGTCAACTATAACCGAAAAGTACATTTTCAAAAAATGTACCAGCAGATGTCCGAGCGCAGGCAGCACGCGAAGCATGCAGAAATGTCTGGTTTTGTGACGGAGGGTCCCTTTCTTACTGCTCGGTAGAGTTTGCTGAGAAACACAGAAGACAGAAGCGCGAAACAGAAAGTCCCCCAGCTCACCCGCTTTGGGCTCTAGAGCGACTCTCGAGCCCAGAGCTCCGGGGGTCCAGGGCCAGGGCTCAGGAGTGGAGAGACCACGCTGGCCGTGTCACAGGCTCAGCCCCTCACACAAACACTTGAGGCACCTTTCTGTCACCTAGGGTACAAGGAATGGAAACTTTCACCACCAACAGCATTTGCTAGCAACTTCCCTCTCTGTGGTTTCTCTCTGTCATTCCCTTGATAAAAGAACCCGCACTGTGCAAATGTAACCAACATTCACGAATGTCACTGTCACGTAGCAGCGCCCGCCTTTCAAGAAGCGAGCTGCCTGAAAACATGATGCGCCATGGACTCTGAACTGGGCCACCCCTCACCCGGAGGGCTGGGCGCGTGGCTGACTCTCCGTGTGTACCCCCTGTGCCGTAGGCTTCGAGCGTCTTCGACAGCCCGGGGACTGATCGGAATGGGAAACAGCGTGCGATCTAGCCCACCGCCTCCCGAGAGGCCTGTGCCCTGCCCAGACGGTAAGTGCGGTGTGATGCTGTCCCGCGAGAGCTCGGGGCAAGATGGGGCGAGGGGCAGGGGGGCTGCTGCTCATCACTGAAACGGGGCGGTGGGTTTTTTTAATACTTATCTCCCTTGCTTTGCTTGTAGTTAACACTTTCACAATTAAAATATTAAAAAAGATTGAGCGGTGGCACCCCAGAGGGACGCTGATCTGCTGGCATTTTGTGACGGACCTTCGAGAATGGCTGTTTCCATCCCTTTACTTTATCGGTGGGGAAAGCTGAGGCCCACAGAGGGAATGTAATTTGTCTCATTAGCTCTCTGTAGAGTCGCCTGTCCAGCCCCAGCCAGGCCCTTGCTCGACCCCGACTCTAATCCTATCACGGGTCTGACATCACCGTAATACAATTCGTGTTATCGAAGCTCTGCCCAGGCTGTTTCGGTGTAACTTTATAAAGCTGGATGCTCGCCCTAGGAAATCGTCCTAAAAATGAAGAATTTGGGTGTTCCCTCGGTAGGCTCACGGGGCCAGGCGTTCTACGGGGAGGGCACACTGTCACAGGTCAATCAGTGATGACAAAAGTCAGCTTTTCCCAGAAAGGCCAGGTGGAGCCAGAGTCCCGAAGGCCTTCTGGGCCTGGCCCGAGAGCTGGGAGGGGACACCAGCGAACAGAAAGCCAGGGCTGAGGGTGAAACTCATCGCTCTCTGGGCTGAGGGCCCCTGGTTGTTTCTGACGCGATCGGGCCCACCGCATCTAAAGCTGACTGGCTTTGGTTCCCAGTCAGGCTGTTTGGGGGCACATTGCATGGGTCCCCTAGGGAGTTGGGAAGGGGCCAAATGATCCCTCAATGGCCCCAGGATGAGGCTAGGGGGACCATGGGACACTTCTGCCAAGCTGCAGCTCAACACGAGAGTGGACAGTCAGGTTCCTGCCCTGCGTCATCTACTGCTGCTCTTTCCACACCTTCTGTGGCTCCTTAAAAAGGCAGCCTTCTCGCTTCTTCTGAAATGGAGACACCCAGGGCACGCAGGGTCTCGTGGCCCGTCAGAGGCCCTGAAGTGAGCACGCGGAGACCTGCCCTGCCGCCCCTCACGTCATTCGCAGGGTGCTTCCAGCGGCCCTCCTCCCTGGCAGGAACTGTCCTCTTTAAACTCGGGAGCGGGGAAAAGCACAGTCCCTGGGACAAGGAGGTGGAACCACGTGCTAAGGCGGAGCAGGGTGTGGAAACGGGGCCCCAGAGAAGCGGGGGCCCCTGGCCTCCCATGCAAAGCTCAGAGCCGTGTGCGGCTGCGCAGAGCTCCCGGGGCTGCTGCCAGCGGGGCCTTCTCCCATGGCCCCCCAAACCCGCTCAGCCAGAGCGTCCTCCTCCAGTCACAGCTCCTTCTAGAAAACTGACGTCGTAACGCAGAGGTCCCGGGCCAGCTCAGGGGGCGCCCGCCCACCGAATCCATCTTGGGTCGTCACCACCCTCGCTGGGGCAGAAGGGGCGGCATGCTTGAGTAAACCCCATGAAAACAGGGGCCTCCGAGGACTTGCTTTTTTGCTTTTATTTTTTGAATGCAAATCGTCATAAGTTTCTCTTTTTCCACTGTGTGGGTGGGAGGTCACCTCACAAAAGAAGGTGTCTCCCTAGTCCTCCACCCCCTGATTAGAGAATTCCCCGGCTTGTACCCAGTTTGTGACCCAAGAGACCACATCAAGCGCTGGCAGGTGGCTTTTCCATCCCCCTTCCCCCCAAAAAAGTTTCCCCTGTGATCGGTCCTAACTGGATTTCCTCTTTTCTCTGACATCTACTAGAATAAGGGGGAAGGAGGTGGTGCAATTGATGCATTAACTAGTCTTTACCCAAACGAAGCAAAGGCTCGAGTTTTCATGGCCTGAGCATCTACTCAGCTAATGGCCTGAGCATCTACTCACGCTTACTCATTTGGTTAGTCTCAGATACCTGGGGGTGGCACAGGGGCTGATGGCTTCAGTCCATCGTACAATTAGAGCTTCCTCTGACCTCAGCCTGGGTGGTAGAGAATTAAGCTAAAAGGCCACCAGACCTTCACAGGGGTCAGCAGGGGGCCACGCTGTGGACTTCTAGACGAACAAGTTTTCTGAGCTTTTAGGAGCTGATTCTTCACCCAACCAGGACTGTGGATGCCCTGGAATATGATTTTGTCCATCTGTTTTCTTCTAAGCTAAGCTTTCTAGAACATTCCTGATTAGTTTAGTTCCCAGAGACGAGTATGACAAAACGCACAGAGGTAGCAGGACTTGAGGAAACTAGGACAGGTCTCAGAGGCTAATGACCTTGCTGAATTTCCGGTATTGTCCCCCAGAAGATGTGTGACCTTCGGGAAGTCACTCATCCTCCCACGAGGAGGGACTCAGTTCTCAGAACAATCTCTTCTTCACAGCACGAAATAGCTAACTGACAAATGTGGGTAGAAGCACTATTTTTTAAACTCCATTTGGGGTCATCTGATTGCACTGGACTATGTCTAAATGGCCATCTCCCCAAAAAGTTTTAAAGTGGTAGAATTGGGGATTCCATGACTTGTTTTCAAAGCATCCCAAATAGCTCATTTTCTCTACAATACTTCACGTATTTCAGACTCCTGCTCTGTGCCGGACCGCGCTGGTCCGGACCTGAACGAGGCCGAGGGGATGGCCGTGTAGCGAGGGAACAGCATATTTCCACCTTAATAAGAGAATTCAGTCACGCTGCTGTGACCTTTTTCCCCTGTCCATTTCTTACCCTCTTATCGTCCTGACCCAACGCGAGATCTCACGGTCAGAGGTGGAAACGCAAACCCAGACACCGTTAGACCCCTTTCTGGGTGAGGATGGAAATAATGCTAAGCGGCGCATTTACATAGCATCGAGGGCGCTGCCTGGTGGAAAAAGGGGTGGGCAGGGCTATGGGGAGGAAGGAGGGGGCAGGGAAGCCTGAGACCCAGCATGCACTTCTCAGTGAGTGCTTCTCAGACTGCCTGCCTCAGATCCCCTGGGAATCATCGAAATGCTGATTCCTGGGCCCCTCTCCAGACCTGCTCATCGAAATCCAGCGAGGTGAGCAGGAGCACACGCGTGACCTCCTACGAGGCCCCTAAGGCTCGCAGACCACAGACCCAGCTTTTAGCCCTGTTTTCTACACGACAAGAAACGAGAGACCTCATGTCGTCCCCCGAGCGACTCTCCCTGTCCTCATTTGTAGAGCAGGAGTAACCAGAGTTACTTGGCGCTGCTAGGGTGTCAGGCGCGGTCGCAGGTGCTCTCCACACATCAAGGCTTGATTTTCACAAAAGCTGCAGCAAATAATCACTATTATCATCTTCACTTAGCAGTTGAGGAAACCAAGGCGTGAGACGGTTCAATTACATGCCTGAGGCCAGACGGCTCATGGAGGGCGGGGCGGGGGGACTGGGAACAGCTGGGATTAGAAGCCGGGGGGACCGAATCTAAAGTCCCTCTCTTCACCCCCACATTACAGGAAGTTCGCGTGTTCTGAGGGGGGATGGGGGCTCTCGAGAGCGAGGGGGAGCACGTCACCAGATGCAATGACATAAGCACTCACGTGCCACTGAGAGGGATACTAGAGACGGGACCCGCGTCAGACCTTCCTGCCTGGGTCTCCCCTCGCTACTGCTCCATCAGACGGTTTGCGATGGGACCCAATCGGTCAACTTTTGTATCATTAAACACTTAATGGATACGATAAAAATAGCTAGTCCACCAAACCCACGATTTCACATTGCTTACAATGCGACTGAAGATGTTTTTAAAGTGAATTAACATACGGAAAAACATTATCGAGTGGTGCAGGTGGTACTAGGCTATGACAAGGTTGCCTGGTTTCGAGACCGGGTCCTCAGCTTGCTGGTTGTGCGGTCTTGGGCAAGCTTCACCACCTCACTGCAGCATCTAAGAGCCTCAGGGTCTGCTCAGTCCCAATCTGTCCCATCTAGCAGAGAGAGGAACCAAGGCTTTGTACACAAAAAAGCTTTCTGGACCACTGTGTCTCACTTTCCAGTCCACAATACAGAACCCACAAGCACAACTCATGCTCCGTGGTGACCAACAGAACTGGGTAGGCCTTCCACCAGGCCAGTCTGCCCTGCCCTGTCTGATTGGTTAGTTGTCTGTGGGTGTACTTCCTGTAAACAATATGAAAAATAAGGCCTGCTCTGTCTCCTCCAGAGGCCGTGAGCTTGGGCATGACCCAAGGGAAGGTGCAAGCAGAAATCACTGGGCCGGCTAGTTCCTTGCTCACCAACCATATTGAGCTGCTTGTGCCACCTCTGAAGCCTCATTTAAATCAGCCTTTGTCCCAACCTGTTGAAGATCAAGTATTAACTGGGGAGAACCTGGTACTTAAGTGCCAAGAAGAGCTATGTGGCTTAGTGACATGACCACGAACTTAGAAATCTTTACGATCTCTCCTGGACACGTTATTAAAACTCCCCGGCCTTGGTTTCTTCACCCTTTACATAAGAATATATGTTCTATATGGAGCATTAGAAGTAGCCAATGTCTGGTTTTGCTAGATGCTTCAAAACAGGATTTACTGAAAGGCTTGTAGCATTTAAAAGAAATAGTAACAATATTCTAAGAAATAATAACGCAAAACAAAAAAGAAAGGATCTGTCTTCTTTTGACTAAGTGATGATTATGGCTTGTAAGTTCTACTAGAGTTTTCTTCTTTTATTGGATTCATTTCCTATTTTTACACTTTTGCACATTTTGTTCGATCTGACTCATTTTTGAGTTGAGCTAACAGAAAATATTTGCTCCGTTGAATTTCATCATCTGTTCTCACCAAACGAAGTTTGTTTTTATCATATAAGAATATTTTCAAATTTACACGACTAAGAGGCTTTTGAAATTTGAGGGCACTATTGGATTATGGAGTGATAACCCCGCCCCATCATGTAGAAATAAGATTAGGTGCCAGTGACTGACACAGGCACTGGACACACGCCACCTCCCATGTCCTAACCAATCAGAAGAGGCCGCTTTGCTATTTCCCACTTGCGTACATGAAGAGGGTGAGCTCACACTGGTTAAAAATAAACCTCTTCCCAAACCGCAGAGCTATTAAGTGGTGGAAGTAGAATTCAAGCCGGGTCTGATGGATTTCGAGTCTCATTCTCTGTTCTGAAAATTCTCCCTGGATTTCTCCGTTCGTGCCCGGCAGATAGCTCTTCACTTAATTTGTTTCCTTATCTGAATGTCGGCAATAGTTCTGTCGACTTCCGCTAGTCTGGGTTCCTCGCGGATCTGGTTTAATGCAAACGCTCAGCTCCCCACAAAACCAGGACACTCTGGGCATACATGGCAACATGTTTGAACGTTGCGAGCAAATTTAAATTTCCTAGTTGCATTTATTTCACTGTAGGGACCAAAGCTCAGGAAAGACTTTGAGATCCTACAAACCAGACTCCAATGCCTTCCATTGACTTTGTCTTCAGTTTTTCTGATGCCAAAGCTAAGATGACAGGGGTGGGCCTGAGTCCTTGCAAAGGGCCATGCCAAGGCCCTTGCAAAGGGCCTGAGTCCTTGCAAAGGGCCACACCAAGCAAAAGCACCAGCGAAAGATTTTCTCAGTGAAGTTTCAGTGTTACAGCTATACGAACATCACTTTGGGGGGAAACTCCACAGGAAACGCGACTTTGCTATTGTGAAATTAAAACTCTCCTGCCTTATAAGCCTCTCCCCCCCCCACCCCCGCCCCCGTTGAAACAATTGTTTTTATAACGGGGTTTTGCTTTTGTTTTTCTTTCTGTTCGTTTCCAAATTTAAAATGAGGAAAGAGGGTCCACAGTCTTAATCTTGAATCAGAGCTCAAAGCCCCAACCCCTCTGTGGACACACAATCTCTGCCAAGGCTCTACGCTAGTCCCAGGTGCCCAGTGCTGTGCCTCTGGAGTCAACACTTGTTTTTCACGAGGGGCTGGCTCTGTGAGGACCACGGGCATCATCACGCTGCCTGCCATAAGTCAGGTTTGCTGGCTCTGATTGCTTCAAAAACAATGGCAGTTCTGAGAGCAGCAGTGCAGGCATCTCTCCACATGTTCATGTGACAAGCTTGAGCATCCTTGATGGGACAGGCCTGTGCCGGGGGGCCTCCTGGAGCTCACAGCCATTGCCCTGATTGTCACACTAATTCAATGGCCTAGAGTAATTGTCTCAAGGGAAAAGCACAGGGGCCGAGAGGGGGTGTATCAGGCAAACCCATGAGTTGATGGGTGGCGGGGGGAAGGGGGAGAGAGCAGGTGTGTTCCTGGCAGAGGGCTCTGAGGATACAGAAACCGGCAAATTGAGAACAACAGGATGGCGTCGTCATACTGCTCAGGGGGCAGTAAAGATGGTGTCAATAAGTGGCCTGCTCACACATGGGGCCATTTGTACATATTTCCACCAGGAAGGCGGTTTCCAACCCCTCATTTTCCAGATTAACCCAGGCCCAAGTGGGGAAGGAAGCATTCACACTCAGACTGGAAAAGTCGGCCTCGTAATCAGGCGCGTTTACCCGGATGTTGAAAAAAACATGTTGGCTAGGCCTCCCTCACCATCCGGGTACCTTCCTAGGGCCTATGCCTAACTTTGCATTTGCAATTTCGTATTCTCTTTCTTAAGAGGACCTCCAAATTACCAGAAGCTTCAAGCCCCACAAAATTTGGATCCACCCCTTGTTAGAACTCAGGACTTCTGGCTTCAAGTTCAACACACATCTTAGTGCTGTCTCTGATTATTGGGTGGGGTCTGGGCTACACAGAGAAGAGCCCCTTTGGTTACTTCAGCAAAGCAGGATGTGGGGGAGGTCTCCCCACAGGCTCAGGGGAGGTCGGAGGCCTCGCTGGGTCGGCCCTTCCACAGCTCCTTGTCGTGAGCCCCGATCCCTTTCAGTGATTGTGGCCCCTGCGAATCACTCTCAGTTTCCATCTCGCAGTCAGGAACGGTCTACTGTCTGCGACTCACCCGCCCCAAGCGAACGGTACGTTTCAGTGAGCCGTTCCACGGTGATAACTTGTTTCTGATTCATTTAGCGACCGATAAACAAATCCTTTGCCAAAAAACTCACTACGCATTCAAGTACTTAGGCTCTCATTCGACTTAGCTTTCCAGGGGCTTGTGAGTTAGAGACTTCAGAACATATGAGTTGTAAGGGGCAGAGTCCAGCAGTCCCAGCTCAGGGGTATCTGGACCTAAGAAAGTGGCCTGTTTGGGCCGCCAAGCCTGCCATGCCTGAGTGCTGGATTTCTCCAGATTTCCTGGGGTGAAGGAGACAGGGAATGTGCCCTGCCATGGTTTTTGTGTCCTCTCTAGAATATGGGCTCCCAGAGCAGGGGGACTTGTTTTGCCGTGTTCATCATGCTTGGCCTGTGGCAGGTGCTCAGTGAACAAATGCTGATGAATGAATAAATATGTCACCCAACATGATGCGTTCTGATGCCCAGCCAGCAGATGGAGTGATAAACACTGTAGCAAATAGTTACTATGCTGATCTCTGAGATAAATTATTTCCCCCAAAATGTACCCCAATATTATCCTGCACATAATGTGGTGCTTATGGTAAATCACCAAGGCTGTGAAATAAGGACTCTGCTTAGTGCCAATAAACAAATCCTACGTCACATCGCTGTCTCCTCCGCAGCAAGCCGTACTCACACGAACCAGAGAGCACGCTCGCCTTTCCAAAACTGCACCAGAATTACTTCCAATATATGAATGATGAAAAGTACTTAAGTTTTCGTCCGCCATTTCCCCAAGAGTTCCTGTTAGACAGAGCCCCAATGTAGTGCCTTCTATTCTGCAAGGAAGAGGTGCTTTATTGAGTTCCGGTCTTCCGGTCCTGGTGGGTCCTCAGAATCATGTAGCCTAGCCTCCATTCCGCCTGCCCCCCCCACCACAATATTAGAGATGCGGGGCCCCCAAGGCCCAGAGAGGGCACCGGTGGCAATAATAATGAAAGGGATCTATTTAGAGCCCCTTATCTCTTATGAGGTGCTGCCACGTGCTTTCATCTCATCTCATGAGGACCCTAGAATGACATGTCACTAGCCCCATCTTAAAGGTGGAGAAGTTAAGTCTAGTAAGCATCTTGGAACTTGCCCGGGATGCCACAGACCAGGAGATGTGGGGCTGACCCTGAAGGTGACTTCAGCTCAAGGACCTCTGGGTCCCCATCTCACAGATGAGGGCATCAGGGCTGAGGCAGGCTCAGCAACGTCGGCTCTCCCAAGGACAGGGAACGTCCCTGGGCTGTAGTATGGCAGTGAGTCGCCTGGCTCCCAGGGTTTCTTCAAGTGCCCGTGTCACCATCCCTGAAGAGAGGAGGGCCTGCTATGACTGCTGTTTCAAAACAGGTCAGGTGTCTCTAGGTGCAAAGTCCCCAAGAGGGACTCGCCTTTGCGCCTGCCCCCTCCCCAACCCCCACCCAGGGCCTCCTTTTAGCTCCTCGTAAGAAGGAACACCCTTTGCTTTTGTTTCTCTAGGACTGGACAGTGACTTCCTGGCTGTGCTGAGCGACTACCCATCCCCTGACATCAGCCCCCCAATATTCCGCTGCGGGGAGAAACTACGTGTGATTTCTGAGTGAGTCAGCTTTCCACAACGTTTACAATCCCCCCACAAAGGATGAACTTGGTTTGGGTGGAAAGAGTTAGATTTTAGCTATAGCTGTCCAATTCCACATGGGCCCTGGTCCTACTGAGAGGTGAGAAGTTTGGCCCAGACAGAGGCCTAAATGCTTGATCCTCCTTAATGCTGCCAGCATCTAAAACCTTCTGTGGCTCCCCAATGCCTACTGGATGAAAGTTAAATTCCTTAACGGCTTTTGAGACCCTTTACGATCCAGGCTCTGCTTCTCACGTTGGCCTCATCTCCCAGCACACATGCAGTGCTGATATTATCTACCAGTGCTAGCTCAGGACGGAGGACACGGGGGTCTGGAAAAACTTCCGAGGACAAACAAAAAGCGTCGCCTTCTATCCTGTTGTCTCTCCCTGATTCAAAATAGGCTGTAGAAGAGACGGAGGCTCTAAACCCCGTTTATTTAAACCCTTGTTGACAGAGACACGTGAAAGTATCTTGGTTATATCGCAGGATGTGAATCAGTATAGTAAACATTTGTTTTTAAAAAGCCTCCGGTTGTAGAACATAAGTTAGAAGCACCAGCTGCTGGTCCCAGAAAGGTGGCTATCGCCAGCATGTGGGGAGATTCTCTGCTTAGCTTGAAGCGGAGGATAGATTTAAAAACTAAATTTTCATAGGAAGAGATTTGGGTCAACGTAGCCAATGACAGATTTTAAAAACTAAGGTCCCTATGTGCCCTGGTTAAATCTGATTACTCTGTTCATGCATTCATTCGCTTTGCCGTTTACCCATCTACGCTTTCCTGCCCGCTCTTTTCCTACAGTGAAGGGGGCTGGTGGAAGGCCATCTCCCTTAGCACTGGTCGAGAGAGTTATATTCCTGGAATATGTGTGGCCAGAGTTTACCACGGGTGAGTACATCCCATCTCAAGCGGCATGAATAAAGCAGGATATTTACGCCAGTGACGCCTAAGTTTGCATAGAGCGATTCCACATAGTACGGCGGGGAAAAGGCATTGGTCTGAAAGGGTCGCGTCCACTCTTAGCTCAGTTCATAAGGAAGGGTGCCACCTTGGGGTGCCCCTTCCCCGTTCTGAGGCTCCATTTCCATACGAGTAAGAACATAAGGAGTTAGACCATTCAGTTCTAACGCGGGGTGCCTGGCACATAGCAAACGAACGCTCGGGACCTGTTACAGGATGCAGTGCAACGCAGTGGCTAAAAGTCGCTCTGTGTAGGTGCAAATCCTGCCTCTGTCACTTACTGGCTAGGTGACAGTGGGCTTGTCACTCAACATTCTGTGCATAAGTTCCCTTTTCTCACCCGTTGAATAGAGATCATAACAAAGAATGATAGAGATAATAATATATAATAATGTGACCAACGTATAGGGTCGAAAATGAGATAGGATAGTACATGGATAGTTCTCGAAACAACGCCTGGCATTGCAGTAAGCACTCGATACCTATTAGCTGCATTCTTATCCAGTCACATCCGGAACACAGGGAATGCTTACTGCCAAAAACGTTTACATGCCCAACTTGACAAGTGAAGGACTCAAGCAGAAGAGAAGAAGCCGTCACAAACCAGGCGTGGAGGAGAAGAAAACAAGCACATTGCTTTGCCCTGCGGCAGAGGCGCTGCAGCGCTGGGCGGATTGGAGGCCGGCACGTCTGGGCTGCAGCACGTGTGGTTCGGCTTCCGCCTTTCCATGGAAGAGCCTCGAGAAAGTTACTCAGCCTCTTCGAGCCACAGCTTCCTCATCTGCCAAGCTACCAAGGCTGGACCTTGGCAAAAAAGTGTATACTATACGGAAGGAAGGAAGGAAGGAAGGAAGGAAGGAAGGAAGGAAGGAAGGAAGGGACTGCTTCTCTTCAAAGGGGTCCAGATAAACTTCCTTACATTCAGAGAAAGACTGCACGCCACCGTTTTGTCTGTCGAAAAGACGAGAAGGGCTTATAACGAATGCAAAGTGGTACTTGTTAAGTTGGTGAAATTATGCACCCACGTTTCCTTTTTTTTCTTTCTCGTGCCCATTCGTTCATTCACAAATATATACCAAGGTCAATAACCTGACCTTGGTGACCAAAGACGAAACCCAAAACGACAGACACAATCCCTGCCCTCGTGGGATGGTGAGGGAGAGGCCGGGTAGTTAGATTATGAAGGAGAGAGATATTAAACAATCTACCAAGGAGGTTCCTTACCAAGTTTCCAAATGCTGTGTAGCACATAATACGGAATAGGCACGGTCCAGCTGGCATTTGAGAAATGGAGCAAGAAAGACGTTTATGCAGCTTTGTGTCCTCATTATCCAATGTCATACCTGGCTGGCAGTAGGCACCCAGGAATTTTATTTGAAAGATTAATAGTATGAACGAATGAATAAATGAATGAATGAACGAACGAAGCATCGATCCCCCTCCTGTTTTCGGTCCCAGCAGTTTTATGTTAACTGGCCCCCGATCTTAATTTCCACACCCCTCCTGTCTTTTGCGGGGAAAGCGTACTCAGGACACTGACATCTGCCTTCTCACTTCCCAGCTGGCTGTTCGAAGGGCTCGGCAGAGACAAGGCCGAGGAGCTGCTGCAGCTGCCAGACACAAAGATTGGCTCCTTCATGATCAGAGAGAGCGAGACGAAGAAAGGTGAGCAGCCTCAGACCCGTCCTTCCATGCTCAGGCCAGACGAGCAGGCTTTGCTCCCAGCCGACTGGTCACAGGGCTTGTCCTCCCGCCTCCCACGCTCGATCCCATGTAGCAAGCTCCCTGCAGCCCACACACCCCCGGTGAGGCCAGCAAAGCTAGGGGACTAGAAACAGGTATGGGGGACCAGGTGGGGCGCTGCCAGGGGCTTGGACCCGTATCTGACCCTGCTGACTCCTGCAGGGAAATTTCCCGTCAACTGAGAAGAAAATCGAACGCCCAGCACAGGTGGCTGCAGAGAGCGCGTGGGCTCTGCACTAGGCCCGGGCCCTGCTCTCCAGCTCTGCACCTGGGGTGGCTGGGGCCGGTCACTTCCTTCTCCGAGCCCAGTTTCCCTGTCTGGGAAATGGGGAGGAAGCCCCTGCGTTAAGGAACTCGGTGAAAATGACATCGCTGGGCCCTTTGTCGAGGCTCAGGGCGAGGGCTCCTGACTCTGGCTGTATGAATCTTTAAGAAGTCACAGCCTCTCTCCAAGCCTAGGTTCCCTTATCTACAACAAAGGATTAACAACAGGGAAGTGCCCCCTACGCTGGCCGGCACCCAGCTTAAAGTGCAGAAGCAAAACGCTTAACAGCCTGGGCTTCCCAGACTCAGTAAGAATAATCATAACTTTTTAAGTACGGAAGACGTTTCCGAGTGCTTGGCTCGCTCCTTGTGCGCTCGCTCTCGAAGAAGAGAGAACGGTATCTGAGGGTATCGCCCGCGCGCCTGGTAAGCATCTTCACTCAGAAATGCCAGAGCCACCTGGTGATGCAGCAGCCTTGCTTTGGGGAGGCAGGGGCCACCATCCGTGATTAGAAAAATCCAAGAACCACTTTCAGAGATAGTATGCTGGAGGAGAGCAAGATCAGAGCAAGGGCAAACTTTGTGCAGGTCTCAGCTTCCCCCAGGGCAGCGGGGAGCCTGAGCCAGAGCCTCTAAACCGGCATGGCCCAAGTGAGGAGAACCTGGCCCGGGGAGCCAGCGCCGATCTAAACACAGATGCAGCAAGCAGATCTGCAGCCGGGCTAGGGCTAGAGAGGGGGCAGGCTCTGTTCCCTCGGGTATGCGAAGTCCTCATAAGTTTCCGCCTGCCACCCTTGACCTGCTGGCCGTACTTCCAGCCTGTGCTAACATTACCGGAAGATACATGCTGGGTCAGCTCAGAGGGCGGGCCTAGGGCCAAGCGAGGACGGCCATCGGGGTGCTAGTCTCGGAGGTGGGCTCAGGACAAGCCTAAGTCAGCCTCTTCCAAGCTGTGTGCCTCTGGCCATGTCACTCGGGGGCTCTGGGCCTCAGTTTTTCTGTCTACAAACTATTTGGGGACAATACCTCCCCGCTGGGCCTTCCTGAGAATTAGTGGAGATTTCACTTGGATGGAGCTGGGCCCCAGCCCAGCACACACATCAAAGACTGGGGAAAATCGAGTTCTCTCCCCTCCTCTCTCTGCCTGGTGAGCCTTTCACCCCTGGGACCCCAGAAGAGCAGGAAGGACTTTTAAACATCATCTGAGTCCAATTCTCTTACTTTATAGATGAGAAAACCAAGGCTAAGAGAGATGCAGGCCACATCGGACTCTTATTAACCCATGTTAGGTCATTATTCTAATGGTGCTTAATGAGAAAAGACACTTGCTTTACATGTTTCTTAGGGAGACCCAGAAAAATGTCTTGACTGCCACTTTTCCCAAATTTCTGAGAACAGCAAGCATAAATCAGAGAGAGTGGGGACCAGGAAATGGGAGGCATAACTCAAACGGCCCCTTCAAAGGTGTAGTGCGGTGGCATTGGTGGCACAAGGTAGAACATGACGGCACGAACACTTAGAGAGTGCAGAGCCAAGGATGACCACGAATCCGACCCACGGGTGCGGCCAGACTCTGATCATTTCATCTCACCTAAGGCCCCACCACAGGACGTGGAAGCACCCGACAGTAACCTCACAAAGCGACGAGCGGGCCGTGCACTTGAAATCCTGTATCGCGATGTGGTTACTGCAGTGAGGCCGCTAACATGACCCCCACCCCTGATCTCTAAGGAGAGAGCTCCGTGGGCGTGCACGCGGTGGGGTTCTGCGGCCGCCCACGAACAAGAGTGCCTGTCCAGGTTTCAGCGCTGTGTCCTGGGCCGAGAGAATCTCTCTGCCTAGGGCTGGAGTGATGGTTGCTTTCCGGTGGGGACACGTCGAATGCCACTGACTCGCCTTCCGCTTCCTGCAGGCCTCTACTCCCTCTCCGTGAGACACAGGCAGGTCAAGCACTACCGCATCTTCCGACTGCCAAACAACTGGTATTACATCTCCCCGAGGCTCACCTTCCAGTGCCTGGAGGACCTGGTGAACCACTATTCCGGTAAGAAACACTCCGTCGAGGCTGACTGGCGAAGCCCCCCCTTTGCCAACTGCCCCATGGCACCCTCGGCCCGGGATGCATGCGGGCCACCAATACATACGATTTACTCCCTCTCTGCCCATCCTGCCTTCCTCATGTTGCTGGCTTCTTATTAATTCGCACTGCAAATTTCAGGCTGGAACAGCCTGCCCGTGAACGCCGCCTGAGCACTAAAACATAGCTCATCTCGACTTCGCCCTCCCTCTACCCGTAAGGGAAGCAAATCAGGATGCTCTAATGTTCACAGCCGCAGACCGCTCGCACCTCCTTGAGTGGGCCACACATCTGCAGGGCTCTGGGACTTTATTCAGAGATGCCACTTTTTTCCCCTTTTCTGCACGTCAAAATTCTCCTCAGCCTTCACCCTCTTTGATGACGAAGTGTTAGGAGGTAGGCTTAGTCACCTGTCATCTCTGTCCCTCCTGATGCCAGCCTTTTCCCCAGAATTCTGCCCACTCTGCCTTGCTGTCTAGTTGACTGCATGCTAGTCTGTGTCTCCCAGCAAGCCCGTAAAGACCTAGGATTGGACTTCACTCATTCGCATCTCCTTCCTGGACCCAGGAGAGGGCCCAAGAGGTCCCCGCTGACCAGGACGAGGAGTGTCCTCCAAGGTCGTAGGAGCAGAGTGTGGTTTTGATGTGGGCGATGGGACAGTGCAGTGTCGGGAGAGAAAGATCCGAGTTAGACTGAAAGGCCTGAATGCCAGGTCAGGAGTTGTAATTTTACCCTATGGAAAAGGGAGAAATAGTAAAAAGTTGGCCACGTTTATAGAAGTTGGCTCTGGAACATTGTGTTCATACCCCAGAGCTTTTGGGCAACATAGGGCTAGTTGTTCAACCCGCTGCCTCCTTCCTTCTCTGTGTAATGAAGATGCTGACTGCTCCCACCTCGGGGACGCTGGGACCGCTCACGGAGTCAGCGTGCGGCAGGTGCCGGGGAGAGCGCCTGGCACGTAAACGCGGCTCCTCCTACATGTCAGCCACCAGACCCTGGTCGGGGCATCTCTCTCCCACCCTTCCACTGTGTACTGGAGGGAGGAGGAGGAGAAGATGCTTTCGCTTTGTCAGCGACACCCCCTTCCAGGTCGGGAGGTCTGACCTCACACCGCCGGGATCTGTGCTGGCATTTTTTAGGGTGTGGGGTCTTGAAGGGCATTTCGAGGAGAAAGAAGGAGTCCGCGGGACCTCGGTTATCGCACTTGGCCTGCGAGCAGCACAGGTCATGACGGGGTAATAGCTACGAGGGAACACAGGCCCCCACTAGGCCCTGGGCTCCGCGAGACTTTGTACAGAAGCCTCTCCTGGACTCGGGTCCCCACGGGCGGTTGGAATGATTCTCAAACACGATCGTTCATGCAACACGTGCATCGGCCGGGCACGCGGCAGATGCAGAATGAATGAGAGCGAGCGTCGCCTCTGTGCTGTCGAAAAACCCGGCAGCGAGGCTCAAAGCGAAAGAGGAAGGCAGTCCTGGAAACGGCCGCCTCGTGCCGGCGATGAGTAAAGCACGGTTGTGGTATTTGGCTTCTAATAACAATCATACGAGAGGCGTGGAGACCATAAGTTTTGCATAGACAAAAGCAAACACGAAGAGGACGCCGCCCAGCAAAGATTTCATGGACAGGGCGGCTCGCGAGGCTTCCGGGCCAGGACGACCCAGAGATGCTGCTGCACCAGGCAGAGCGGTGCCTCGCAGACCTGCGTCCCTGGCTACCGCACCAGTAAACACACGGCTCGCAGCCACCCGTTCGCCCTGGGAAGAACTGAAAAGGCCCCGAAACCCTGAAATGCTTCCTGTGCCCCTCAGGTGCCCAAAGTGGAAACCATGTGGCTAGTTTACCTCCCGCAAGGCACAGGGTCAGGGAGGGTGTGCGCTAAGGCAGTCATCGCGAGAACAGGCCGGGGAGGGCGGGACACAAATGAGTTCTGACACATGGCCAGGAAAATAAGGGACAGGAACGTGGGAACGATGGACGTAGAGTTGGGGTGGATGGGTGTGAGGAATATGAGTGTTCTAGGGAGTTCTACAGACTGCGGAGAATTGAAGAGTGTGTTAACCTCAGAGGCCGTGTAGGATTTCTCTCTTTTTCCATTCCAGAAGCAATGAGCAGCTTTCGGAACAAATGCCTGGTTCTGAGTCCATGAGGCGGGTTTGGGTCACATTTCTGTGACCTTGAGCTGCCTGACCCCAGGATCCTAGTGTCTCCATTCCCAAAATGGGTCTAACAGTGCCAACTGCTCGGTGATCTGTCTGGGCCTCGCCCAGGTGAAGTGTGGCAGGCTAGCTCAGCGTGTGCTTAGAAATGTTGGTTTCTTTACTTTTTGCCAAATTTTCCTTTTCAACCTAAGTAGCAACCTTTCTACGGAAGGACTGTCACTGAGCCCCCATCTTGGGCTGTCCACTGGAGCTGATTTCTTTAGTTTTTGTGTCTGACTTGGTCTCCCTCACCCCCTAACCTGGGAGGTCATTTCAATTTCCTACTCCTGACAGGTAATTATTTCAGACTCACATCCAATTAAGCTCCCTCTAACCTCAGGGTCCAGGCTCACTGCCTCGGCGCGGGCCAGGGTGGACGTTCCCGTTCACATGGAAGGCAGATAGCACACTGCAAAATGGCATTATTGAGTGTCACCCTCTGACAGCCCGGGTGTGCTTCTTCAGCTACAATTTCCTTCTGTTTCTTGAGAAGGACACCCCAAGAGCTCCATAAGTTACATGGAGGCAGAGACCAGCGTTGGTGTAACGGGCTTCTTAAAACCTGGGGGTAGGTTTGCTCGAGCCAGGGCGGCTCAGCCCTGTGGGACACCAGCAGCGTCTGGCGTCCTTGGCCACTCCATCACCCTCCCCCGACCCGAGGCATGAGGAGCACTAGGGTCTTGGACACAGAATTTCCTCAATCTGTCAGAATGTCCGAGCATGGCCAGAATCAATCTTTGTCACGACAGCACAGCTAGAAGGCTTCAAAGAGATGGAGGCTGCTTCTTACTGCTCCTGGAAGCTCAGACACGTCATACTAGCTGAGGAAAAAAAAAATGGATGCTTTTCATTTTCCTTCTCTTTGTGCTCAAGTATCTGGTAAAGAGGAGCGATTTCTTTTACTTTTTCATTTTTTTCTTTGTCCACTTTCCCTCTTCTGCCTTGAGATCTTGGTTTTTCTCCTCATTTTCCTGTGTCTTTTGTCTTTTTAAACCAGTCTTTACTCCTTCCTCTCCTTTTCTCTCTCTTGCTTTCCCCTTCCCTCCTTCCCTCCTTCCCTCCTTCCTTCCTTCCTTCTTTCCTTCCTTCGATCCTTCCTCCTCCCTCCTCTCCCTTCCTTCCTTCCCCATCTTCTATCATTGTTTCTTTTACCTTCCTTTCTTCCTGCAAACCTGTCTAAGAGCCCACCATGCTGTATCACATGCCATTCTCCGTGCTTCGGGCAGTCGGCCTTGTACACAGACGCCCCACGCACGCCCTGCCCACAAGAGGCCCGGCCCCAAACGTTGAGGGGCCTTTGTCTCGGTGTGAAACCACCGAGGCCGGGGCCACACCCGGGCACTCTGCCAGCTGTTCTCATGCACCAGCTCCATCCCTCTAACTTCACGGTTGAGGAAACCGAGGCTCAGAGAGGTTCCAGGCGAAGTACATAGGGTCAAAGCGGAAATTTAAACCTGAGTTTGGTTGATTCTGGATCCTCAACTCTACTCTGTACCTGCACCAAGCTAAACACAGCGTATATTCAGGGCACGTCGACATCTCTTAAACCCTGGGCACGTGACTCTCGGCCCCTCCACACCCCTTTTCAAATCTCGGCTTCCGTTTCCCCTTGGGAACAACTGGGCAGTTCCTCGGGCCTCGTGCCCGACGCCGGCCGCGGCGTCTCAGAGTCACTGACCAGCTGTGTGCTTCCCTCCTCAGAGGTGGCCGATGGCCTCTGCTGTGTGCTGACCACACCGTGCCTCACTCAGAGCACGGCCACCCCGGCAGTGAGGGCCCCCGACTCGCCTGTTGCCTTGCGTCAGAAGACCTTTGACTGGAGGAGAATGTCCAGGTGGGGAGTCTGTGTGTGAGAGAGTGTGCATGTGTGTGTGTGTGTGTGTGCGCGCGCGTGTGTGCGTGTGCATGTGTGTTCTCCATGAACGCATGAGCCCCCAAACCAGTGTGTGAGCCTGGCGCATGAAAACCTTGGCCAATTACAGCCGGCACTGCTGATACCTGACGGCAGGCACACTGAGCAGGTGCAGCAGACCCACAGATCCCCAATGTCCCCTGAGAGGCAGACCCAGCCTTCGGCCTCATGGGGTCGGTGGCAGAGCCCTAGTAACTCTCTGCTGAGACCGTCGGTCCCCTGAGTTCTGCAAACATTTACTGAGTCCCCATTAAGTGTCAGCAGAAGCTTTTGTAGCTGAAAGAGACCACCTCGCCTTTCTAACGTTAGCATCCTAGAGAGTAACACACACATAAATCTCGTATAAATGTCATCTTATTTTAAACTCACTCAGAAAGCTTAAACACATCAGCAAAATCATAAGGCGATTTCATCTTTTGTTAAGAGAAAAACATGCTCCACTGATTTGTTTTATTTGAGTGTCAGCTATTGCAACTTAGAGGTATCTGTGATTGGGAATTGGTGGATTATCCTACTAGTTAAATACTGATCCAGACATCTCGCTGGTAAATTCAAAGAAAATCAGAGCTCGAAATTGCCTGGGAGATGAATAAAACTGCTCTTCCTTGTAAATATCATAAAGAAATAGTCATTAAAATTTGCAGCCGGGCATTTTAGTCTTCCAAAGAAATGGCGGTTCAGAGAGGTTCAGTGATTCACATAAGCTCACACAGCCGCAAATACAAGAAACAGCATGAGAACCACGAGTTAGAGAAATGCTGTACTAACCACGCTCCCTTCCTTGTCTCTTTCTCCTGTCCTCCATCCCGTTATGTCCCTCTCTCTTTCTTCCTTTCCTCTGCCCCTTTCTCCCCACTCACAGGCTGCGGGAGGACCCCGAGGGAGCAGGAAACCCCCTCGTTGTGGACGAGTCGCTGTTCAGCTACGGCCTCCGGGAAAGCATCGCCTCCTACTTGTCGCTGACGAGCAGTGACAGCGCTCCCTTGGATAGGAAGAAGAAAAGCCTGTCCCTGATGTACAGTGGGAGCAAAAGGAAGAGCTCCCTGTTCCCGTCGCAGCCGTACTTCGAAGACTAGCCAGGAGCACACGCCACGGCGCGCGCCCCGAAGGAGCAGAGGTTCCCGCCATCGCCTGGGATCTTGCAGAAAGGTGTGGCTCCCTGGCCCCGGAGGAACCTCACGCCTTCCGGGAGCCGAGGGAAGCCACGCGAGACTTGGACTCGCATCTTCTCTACCCATATCATGACAAAGGGAGCCCCGCCTGGTGTCTGCTCGGGACATCGCGACATGGCGACTGGCGCTGTGGACAGGCACTGTTTCAGAAGGGTCTTGCTTGTATGTTATGCGTGTGCTCGTCGCGTTTGTGGGAAAGACGGACACAGGACGTGCCCAGGGACCACCCTCGCGCAAACCGTCCAGATGGTCGCGCTCCGAGCTCGTTGGAGAAAACCTCTGAATGAGGAGATGAGCCAAAAGCCGCGTGCTGGCGGAGGGTCTGGGTTTGCAAACTGGTCCCCTGCGTGGAACTTTAAAACTAATCCACGAAGAGACCTTCCTTCGGTGTGCATCTCCTCTCTTTAAGAGAACTCGGTGACACTAAACATTCAACCTTCCTAATTAGTCCTGAATCAGGAGATCTCTTTGCCCTGCCGGGCCCAAAGCCATAGGCGCAAAAGTCAGTTGGCCTCTCTACTTCTGCAGGGGGCAGGGCAAATGGACTGGGGGAGGTGGTGGGGAGGAGGCTGCTGGCCGGGAAGCACAAGGCTGGGCTTGGAACTGTGCAAGCTTTCACTATGTCCTCAGCACAGCTTTGCAGCACAGAAAAAGCTTCTGTGGCATGCTGAGATTCTCACCCATATTAATACACCAACTATTCATTTATGACTGCCCGAAGAGACACTGTTTAAGTCCTGTTAAGGTGTCAGATCAAGAGAAAAGATAAAAGATAAAAAGATAAATAAGCCCCGGGCCTCAGCAGAGGTGCTCACAGTGTAGACAGGGAGAAAAGTCTAAAAACAAATAGTGTGCACGTGGGATGTACAAGCAGAAATCAGCTCACGGCTGCAGGTGGGACTGGGGTCAGGTAAGGGCACCCAGGACCTGCCGTTTTAGCTGGACCTTCAGAGAGTGCAAGTGCCACCTGGACTGAAGAGGTCAGAATGGTCACATTTTTTAAAAAAAAGGAAATTGATGAGTTCTGAAGAATTTATTCATCCAGTGTTTTATTCTAAGAGGGGTCTGGTGGCCACATGAGTAAAAGCTCTGGGCTCCAGGAAAGATGGAGTCACAGTGGCTTAACCCTGTCTTACATGATTTTAAGCGAGGAGAGAGAAACACAGGCAAGACCTGGAGAAGGAGAAGCACTTCTCTGCAGACCGCCCATCCGCATGGAGTTAGGAAGGGGGCTGCGGATGAAGCCGTGACTCCTTTTCCCCTGTTGCAAGGAGATCCGGGAGCACGATGGGCACGTGCAGTATGTCTCCCTGCCCGACAGCACACGCGTTCCGCAGATCTGAGCCCCCTGTGCTCGCCGTCTGTGTATATGCATTTACAGGATCTTCTGTATCATCGGATTCCGGCGTGTTTATACAAGCAGACATTTGTGGTTTCCTCAACAATCCCAAAAGGCTGTTTCAAAGGGACCAGCCAATGTACGGGAAATGAATATAACACTGTGCACGCTGACTTCCGCCACAAGGCTGGGTGACCTCGCATACTCCAGATGTTCGTACGGTGTCTTACGCGTTGTTTTCCGTTGTGACTAATGGGGTTGGAATGTGTAGGGAGGATTTGGAAGGGTCTCTCAGTGGGAAGCATTACGTTTTGCTAAATCATGTATTTATTCCTGATTAAAATAAACTTAATAAATATTTAACCCCTGGAATTTAGAGAGAGCATCCTGGGTGAGCCGGGTGGGTGGTTCATTCAAAAGTTCCTGTGGGTTTCAAATTTTTAAGTAAACTTGCAACTGGACAGAGACGGAAACGAGGAATACCGATAGGAACCTCACTGGCTAGCAGCTCAGATTCTTTTGAGACGCAGCCTTAAGAAAACCAGAGTTTATGACTAGTGAGGGTATCTAATCGCACTTGAAGGCGGACGTTATAAAAATTCCGTCTTGCCTAGATCCTTCTCCCTGTTACTTGTGGTACCTCTGCACTTTGTTCTTCCAAGAATTTCTCTCTCTATATATATTTTTTTGGACACCTGTGAAATACCGGACACTGCGCTAGGTGCTGAGGCTGGAGTTCTCTGCTACCAGGAGCTTGATATCATAAGAAAACAAGGAAACTTTTCTGACAGCGGCAAATGCAGAGGCACGAGCTGCTGGGTCGGAGAGTAACTGGCAGGGGAGTCGTTTCATCTGATACTTTGGAAAGGCCTCCCAGGGGAGGCAGCCGAGCGGAGGCCCAGAAAGACGCGAAGGAAAGAGCCATGCAAAGATCTAGGGAGAATGTTAGAGGCACAGAGGAAGCGGGGTGATGCGGGCAGGCCGGATCGAGGCCGTGTGCAGAAGGATCTGAAGGTCACCGTGCTGGGGCTGAGGGCAGGGGAAGGAGAGGGCTGTCCGCAGGAGGCAGAGAGATCCTGCAGGGCCCTGCTCGGGAAGGGAAGGAGTTTAGGGTCTATTCTAGGAGAAATGGTAAACTACTGGAAGAATCTAAGCAGGGGAGTAGCAGCATATCATTTCCCTGTTTAAAAGAGCGTTGTGGTTACTGTGTAGAAAGTGAAATTTCAAAATCTCCACTTTATATTGTCTACCTGACACGGAGTTAAAATAAAAGGATGCGGAGTTTGAACGTAAAGTAGCGGGGAATATTTTCGTGCAAAACAAACAAAAAGAAACGTACTGAATTTTGAGTCAAAATGGAATTTAGGTGAAAATAAATTACCTAAGGGCAGAGAGAGATGTTACGCAAGGAACAATACACCAAGAAGATCTACTGTTTGAACCTCAATTCATCTAACATAAGTTTCAAAATATATTAAGCAACTGTTAGAGGCACAAACAGATAAATCAATCATTTGATTTGGAGATTTTAACACGATTCTCAGAAACTGATAGATTATGCGAAGATAAATAAAAAGATAGGTAGGTGAAGATTTTGGTAACACTATATAACTTTTCTGCCAACGAATGAAGCATACATTAACTCACAGAAGAAGATCTACTAAATTTCAAGAGTCAGAATCCTCCAGTTCACGCTCTACGATGATGATGCAATAAAATTGGAAATCAATTTACAAAAGAAAAATATCCTTGAGTTAAGAGAAAAATAATGCAAGACACAAGACTCTTGACATATTGCTACTTCTCGAATGTTCCAGAGCATAGCTGATAACAGTAGTAAGGGGGAAATTTATTGCTTGACTTTCATTGACCAGAAAACAAAGAATGAAAGGTACTGAGGTTAGTTTTCAACTCAAGAAGCTAAAAGAACAATAGATTATCAAGAAACAGGAGAAAATAAAAGATAATAATAAGGGCAGACATAGATGGTACACAGTTTTTTAAAATATAGGCATGGGGAATATTTGAAAAAGCAAAACATAGATTAAATACTAAGATTAATATGATGGATAAAAACATGAACGAGAATGATCGGGATGAAGGATAAAGCAAGCAAATCCACACAGGGCTGCAGGTCACGAAGACCTGCAGGAGGGAGGGTGTCCCTTCCTCCCTAAGTTGGCAGGGGTGGCTCTCCTCCCGTTCTGTCCCCTCCCTGATTCTGAGCTCCTGGCAACCCAGAGTCTTCCCCACAAATGAGGACGAGGCCCCAGGATGGCAGAGAAACACCTGGGAGGAACGTGGGCTCCCAAGCTCCTCACCTTGGAAAATGATTTGAGAAAGAGGAAAAAGAATAGTTATTATTTAGGCTGCTTTAGTGTTGGGTCTCTCTGTTGGAACAGTTGAGCATCTCGCTCCAATGGGTACCGAAATAGACGTGCCGTTATTTGGTAATGAGATAACCGTATAGAAAATTCAGCGGAACTGACCAAATATGAGAAGTGGTAAGAAAGCTCAGAAAATTGCAGAACCAACCTAGCCCCCTACACCAGCATGTACCAGCTGGGAAGTACGATAAAAAATAAAGCAGCATTCACAACGCCAGCCATACTCCGACATACGTAGGAACTCGCCGCCAACAACTTCACACGACTTTGAGGGAGCAAAGTTCAAAACGCGATGAAAAGTCCTAAGGAGACCAAAATGCTCTATTCATGGTTCTGGTGTTAACGCGATTCCTGGAGGCGAGGTTAACGTCATAAAAACGTAGATATTTTTCCTAAATTAATTGAGAAATTCCATGAAACTACAATCAAAATCCCACCAGAAATATTAAAAATATCAATAAAAACTTATCCTAAATACATATCTGTGAAGGCATCAAAGCCCATGAATGGCTAGGTCAGCTTTGATTGAGAGAGACGCAGGGGGGTGGGGGAGGGGAGGCGATGAGACACGTGTGGAAACAGGAGAAAACGATGCTCTGGGCCCCGACTCCCTCCCTCCCATTAGTTTCATGGGACTCAGCACGGTCTCGGGGGACCCCTTTGAACTGGGCGCTGTGCTAATTACACTTGGAATTATACGTGCTAGAAACATCACAAGTACAGACGACGAGGCAGAATTCCTTAAAAACTGCTCAGTAAAAGTGTTGTCACTATGGCAAGATTCCTTCTGCTTCAAGAGACGGGGAAAGGTTTGGAAGCCCCATTTCAGCTGAGCCCTGAAGAAGGGAGTGACTTTCCAGGTGGAAAACTGAACGTGCTGACCACAGAACAGTGATGGAAAGATCTAGAGGAAGGCATGGCGTTTTCTAGGAACGGTGACGGCCAGGGAGCCTGGAGAGCAGGGTTCGGGTGGAGATGATGCAGGAAAGGAGACAGGAAAATTCAGTTTGAGGCCAGCTCATGGGGCCTGGCATGCACGCCCAGGAATGCAGAAATAGGGCAATGGAGCGGTCTCTTCTGGGTCCTGTGACTCACACCGCAGAGGACACGACCTCCACTATCTTCTCTTAGAACTGGCCGAGGTGTCGGAGCCACAGAATGCATGTTTACTACGTGTCACCCCCCTCCTGCTTCAGCCTAGGCCCAGACCTGCTTTTGTTTGCGGCCGACTTGCTTGGTATGGAAGGAGGGAAGCTTGGAGCTCTTCAGTTCTACGGTTACGGGACACTTTATCAACTTGACATGATGACAGCTTCTTGAGCCCTTGGGAGACAGAATTAACCATACCTATTTTATCCATGAAGAATGCAAGGGGGAAAGGTTTTGCCCAAGGCCAAGATCGTAATGCAGGCTTGTCTGATCCTAGGCCTGGGCTCTTTCTCTTAGACATTCAGACACCCAAAGAGTCGCGAGTCCCTGGGGAAGTGGCCTTATCCGATGGAAAAACACAGGATTTGGCTTTAGGTTCTAGTCCCTACAGCATCTCCTTCTCTGCTGTGTTTTCTTCAGTGGGTCACTAAACATCTCTGAGCCTTGGATTTCTTACCTCTAGATTGGATATTTAAAAAAAACTACTTGTGAATCAATGTGAGGAATCTCTGAGATAATACACTGAAAGTGCTTTATGGCCCCAAACATGCTAAATAAATAAATATAAGCTACTAATTGTCACAGGAGTCTTTCTCACCCGCTACTTCCACAGTTCTGGCCCCAAGATTTGCAGAAAGACTTAATATTTTATCCAAGAATGTATCACCAACTCACATTCATTCCTCAAATATCTGCCGGGAAAGAAAACGTTTACGAAAAGCTAATAAATAGAAGAATTTCAGTTCCCTCGATTCCAAATAATTCCACATGCCTCCCAAAGACTGCCGGGGGAACTTGTAAAAGCTGCCCCTGAATGACTAAAACAGATGGCGAGTTTATTTTTAAATACACTACCATTTGTTAAAACAGATTTGTCTTTAAAATCCCCCAAACATCTAAAACCTCCAGAATTTTTTTTAAAAAAATTCTGCCTTCTGGGCCTCCTAGAAGGTATTTGGGGTGTCTTCTGGGTCCTGCTGCATGCATGGTTTCCGAAGGGGCCCTGGAGAAGTCACTTCAGGACCAACTCAGAGGCAGGAAGTTCTGTTTTTAATACCAGGAATTGAAAGATGTTTGGGCTCAGACCTCTTGCCTCTGAGATGGACCCCACAGAGGCCCAGATTAAAGAAAACCTGAATCAGAGGACGAGACACGCAAGAAAGCGGGGGAGGGAGATAAAGCAGCCTGTGGGTCTCTCCTTCGCCTGCTCATCCTCGGCGGTTGGCCCCTGCTCTCCTAGAGCTCGGAGTCTTAGGGAGACAGCCTTGACAGCGGGAATAATTATTTACTGGTGGGACATCATGATCAAAATCACACAGAGAAGTGCAGGCAGCACGAGCCACATAAAGGGGGGTCCATTTCCAGCCCAAAAAGAGTGGGAAGGTTCCCTGCGGGACGAATAGGCACGCACAGAGGAGGATGGCAGATAAGTGTCTTATGTAGAAGAAGCCGCCTGTACAATGCAGAATAGAGCACGGCCTCTTCAAAGAAGATCAGCAGGCTCCTGCAGCTGAAGGAGAGGGAAGGCATGGCAGGTGGCACTGCTCCCTGTCAGGGATGGCGACGATGCTGATCGCATCGGTTCTGCCCAACGCCGCTCCTACCCTCTGCATGATCAAGGGTTTGGCTCCCAGGCCTGACAGCGCTGGGGCGATCATGCGGCCTCAGACTTGCTGGCAGGTCCGTGGCCTGGGTTTCCATGGTTCTCCCTCTTTCCTGAACTCGTGGTACTTAGTAGTCTCCTCATTGCTTTCTCGGCCTCCAGAGCTGTCCGTCTCAAGTTGATCCTCTCCCCGGCTCTAAGAGAAGTCTTCTCAAAGGGAAGCAAGTTTCCCGCCTGCTTAAAAACGCTTCGATGGCACAGCCACGCACACAGCAGCGCTATTCACAGTAGCCGGAGGGTGAATTCAACCCAGTGTCCATCGACAGATGAGCGAATAAACAAATATGGTACATACACACAATGGAATATTATTCAGTCTAAAAAAGGAACGCGATTCTGACATAAGCCGCAGCATGGATCATGGATGACCCTTGAAGACATTACGCTAAGTGAAATAAGCCAGATACCAAAGGACACATCTCGTGTGATCCACTCATTGGATGTCTTAGAATGGGAAACTTCGTGGAGACGGAAATTTAGACAGAGGTTAGCGAGGGCTGGGGGACAGGAATAGGGAGCAGCTGTTTCACAGGTACAGGGTTCTACTTGAAATGATAAAAAAAAGTTCTGGAAATGATCAATGGCGATGATTGCCCAGCGTCGTGAACATTAGGGCCACCCAACAGCACTCTTAGAAAGGAGTCGAAATGGTAAACCCAACTCAACCCAAGGCACCAACAAACGAAACCTTCAGTGACAGTGGCTCCCATGTGCTCGGGACAAACCCCAGGGGGTCAGTGCTCACTGGCTGCCCTGCCTCCCCGCCCCCCTCTGCTGTCTGTAAAGACCCTGTCCTGCTGTGGCATCACGGGATCGGTGATTTCGGAGAAGAGCCAAGCCTTCTCTGTGTGCCGGGCCTCTGCAGTTGCATGCCTCAGCACTTGGCTCAGACTTCCCTCTCTTGGGACGCATTCCCGACACTCCCTGCTTCCCCTGTGTTTGGTTGAGGGGTTCTCTCTGAACCACCCTAAGATCCCCTCTTAAATATCTGCTTGAAGTGTTTGTCTGCCACCTCCCAGGAAACTATAAGCTTCCTGAGAACTGGAACATGAATTATTTAGCATGACATTTCCAATACCTAGCATAGCACCTGGCACCAATTGGACATAGTAAAATTAGAAGCTAATCAATGACAGAATAGTTTTCAGGGAGTATGCTGCGGTCAACCAGATTATTTCTTCCATCACAACTATTGTCATTGTAAACATTATATCATAATCATCAATATCGTTATATCTTTACCACCATCATCCTCATCACCATCATCATCATCATCATCATCACCATCATCCTCATCACCATCATCATAATCATCATCACCATTGTCATCATCACCATCGTCATCATCACCACCATCATCGTCCTCATCACCATCATCATTATCATCATCACCACCATCATCGTCGTCATCACCATCATCATCATCACCATCGTCATCATCACCACCTAGTGGGTGCTCCAGACCACTCAATGCAATCACGAGTATTGAGTTCCCTTCTTTGCCTTTATTCATAATCAACAACTCGTTTGGCCAAACCTCGGAGCTCTGTGACTCACGCCGTGGCTGCTGACGCAGCTGCCTGCCATGTGGACAAGTACCAGGGTCCTCTGCCCTCCTCAGACCTCAGACAAGAGAACACCGATGAGGCAGAAGAGGTCAGTGAGAGTGATGAATCACCCAATACTGTCCCCCAATGACAGGCCGCCAGAGCGACGCGCAGGGCAGGGATGGAGCACGCGCTAGGCGGCTTAAGGGGAGATTCGAAGTTTAAACCCAGAGGTCGGGGAAGCGACGCTGGGGGGGAATGCGAGCTCTCGCTTCTACTTCCCTCCTGCTTTGGGCGATGCTGCTGGCTGGAGCCAGCATCGTGTTGGCTAAACTATACCCTCATCATTAACTTTTCCTCCACCAAGAAGTCTCTCATTCTATCCCCTGTGGTTGTCTATGGACAAGTGAGGCAACGGACAGTTCAGCCCATCGAACCCTGGCGAGGCACCCCCAGAAAACAGAACGCGCCCCCCACCTGGAGTTATTAGTGCTGTAGATATGCGGGGACAGCCATCAGGGAAGCCCTTCAGCACCCTGGCTCACGGACACGTGGAGAGATGGCCATGAGCAGGACACACACTCAGAACAAAGGGTAGAGGAAACCAAGCAATGGAAGCCAACTGGCCTCAAGAGGCGAGAAAGGGCGGGGGCCTGGCCAGCCTGCCGCGAGGCGGAAGGCGGCACAGGCAACTCACCATCAGAAGGGCTCTCTGGAAGAGACTGGAGGTGGCAGCCCCGGTGGGTAGGAGGTGGATGCTGGCCACGTCGGCGCCCCCGCGGTCGGCTGCCAGGGCCACGCGCCGAGAGTCCCCCCCAAACACGCCGATGTGGGTCTGCACCCAGGTCAGAGCCGCCACCTGGTCCAGCAGCCCCCAGTTGCCACTCACTTCGCCAGACCCTGTAGAAAGAGGAAAGCCTGTTACCCTCTGAGATTTTGCAAGCTGAAATTTAATCGTCCCAGTGCTGCCGAGGGCAGGTACGTGGCGTCTCCTGGCTGCGCAGGTGGAGACTGTGGTTACGATCGCAGTGTGGCCGGCGGGAAGGGCATGGGCTCTGGAATCACAGCCGCCCGGCCGTGGGTTCTCGCTTCCACTTTTGCTAGCTGGGAGCCTTGGACGTGTCACTTCACCTCTCTGGACCACAGCTTTCCCATCCTAGATGACGCAGTTGCTACGGCAACTGCTCAGAGTAGAGGCTTGGCACGGCGGCAGGGAGGAGAGGAACTTCCTGTCCCACATCTTCACCCGCTGCTGGTGGCTCCCCCTGCTCCTCCCCGCCGGCACGCAGGCTCCTCGCCACTGCCTCACCCTCCGTGACCTTTAGTCGCCGTCCGCTGAGTCGATCGCTCTTTCCTTTTTATAGACTTCATTTATTGAAAGCTCAGCACTACTTTTTTTAATGGGATGATTCAGACAGAAGAACGTATAGCAAATGCGTGCTTTTCACCTTGGCGTGTGGGAGACTATGTGCCCATGTCCTTCTGGCCGTCCTCCTTGTCCATCTACGCCACCCACTACTCCGACACGCCAGGCCTGTCCCAGTCAGAGCTGAGGCTCGCTCCTGCTTTGCTCTGCAAACCCCAGCAGACCCTGCCCCGCCTTCAGTTCCCACCCACGTGCTGCTGAGTCTCGGGGAGCATGTCGGGCCAGAGACCCTCCGAGCTCCAGACGCCTCATGTTCCTCCAGGGAGCTGCCTCACAGGCCCCTCGGGGCAGCTCCGTTCCGGAAGGAACTGATTCTGTTTCCCGAGCACCTCAGCCAACAGCACTTCCAGAGTCTCCTCTTTTCCTCCAAATGCAGGGTCACCCCCATTCTGCCCCTGCACGACCTTGCAGTTCTCCCCAACACCACCGTCTGCCGTATCCCCAAGCTGTCCCCAGGCGCCCCGAGCTCTCTCGCTCCACTGACCTCTGCCACCGCCTCTCCCGTGTTTCCCATTGCCGTCGGCCGGCTGTGTCCACGTCCTCCTCCCTCCAGAGAAGTCTCTGTGCCACGTGTAGAGTGGTCTTTAAACTTATAATTTTGATCATCTCTCTAACACAGACACGCACACACATGCATGCATACACACGTGCACACACACACGCACATGCACACACATACACATGCACACATACACACGCACACACGTGCACACACCCCCCCGCACACGCACACACGCACACACGCACCCTGCCCCATCTGATCTAAAGTCTCTCATCTCATCCCATTGTCCTCAGGACATTATCTTGGCTTGTCCAGTGTATTCACGGCCCCGTGGGACTGGGTCGTCCATGTCCCTGGCCATATCTGCCTTTGTCCCAAACCTGTGCCTCTGCTCCTGCCACCCAGGCTTCCCATCGGCTGTTCCAACACACCCGCACCGCCCTCTCCCAGGCCTGTGCTCTGAGCGTGTGGCTTCCTCTGCCCAGAGCCCTCCCCGCCCGCTGCCTTCCCTGCCTTCCTCCTCCGGCCCGGCCATCCTCCCAGCCTGGGCAATGCCATCAGTGCACGGGCATCCCTCAGGCGAGGTCAGGTTCGCCTTTCAGGATATTTGTCACCATCGCCTTCCCTGTCAGGCGGTGTCCCCATCGAAACCAGCGGCACGTGACAGGTCCTCAGGAAAAGTGCATGAAGGACTACAGTTATGATGACAGGATTCAGTCCCAAGTGAGGAACTACCGACAGGACCCCATATTCCCAAATAGAAAAGCTTTGCCCCCCGTTTTCCCCGCCTGGTATTCGTAGAGCCGACGAGAGCACCGACATTGGTGCCCCCCTCGCTGTGGGCTTCCCTGGACGTGGCGGGCGTCCATCTGTTAAGATAAATGCGTTTGCTTCCGAGGTCTCGGGCGAGGCGGGAAAGTGGAGCATCCACTCAGCAGGTCCAATCCTGCAAGTCTGGGAAGCGACATCCACGGCCTGCATTTCCAGTGACAACGCGGATGGGGCTGGGGAGGGCTGACCCTGACTCCCACTCCCCATGTATCAGCTTCCTGTTTACACGATAAGGGCCGATGCCGACATTCTGGGGTCTGCAGACCCCCGGGAGTTCAGGAGTGAGGGGGCGTCAAGAGGCCCCTCACCAGACACGTCTTGAACGGAGCCGTGCTACATACTGCAGGGTGAGGTAGGCAAGATCTTGACACTCAGGGACAGGCACAGAAGGCAGCTAACCACCTGGTCTGAGATGGTCGAGTCCAACCCTTTCCTTTACCGGTAAGAAAATTGAGACTTAACAGGGGAAAACTTGTTTGGGTATAAGCAGCAAATCTGAGATAAACCCCAACGCACGCTCAGAGCTTTCTGTCCTAACCTTCAATCCAATTCGACAAACATCTGCTGAAAAATCCATAACGCGCAAGGCACTGTGCCATTTTCATTAAACGGAAGTGCTTTATTTACGGAACTTCCTCTGCTCCCAAGTCTTCGTAACGCCTTCATTCCTACTGCATCAAGTCTAAACCTCTTCCTGGCTTCGCAGAGCCTCTAAGGTTGACGTCAGCCTATCTCAGCAGCCTGGGTTGCCTGGGCCCCACCACGGACCCTCGCCGGCCATCGGTGTCCATTCTCACGTCCACGGCCATTCCCCTTCAGCCTGGCTGTGGCTGAGCCCCGATTCTGCTTGTCCTCAGGGCCCCTGCTCAGGCCCCACCTGGCTCAGCCCTGCCACAAACACAGCTGAGCTGGGGGCATGAAACAGGAGAAGGCTGCTCTGTGCCAGCTGGCCCCACGCAGCTCAGACAGATGCGAACAGAGACCTCAGGATAACGTTCCTCTCTTGCCCCGGCCCACTCTGATCGCCCCTTCACCCCCCGTCTCCTGTCCTCTGGTCAGAACCGCCCCAGCGAACAGACATGCGACTGTCCCCTCATTGTCCAATTGGCTCTCGCTTGCTCAGCTATCCCTCTAAAGCTCCTTAGCACAATTCTAGGCTCATGGTGGGTTCCCTCCCCGGTCCTGTTGACAGCCACCAACAAAAGGCAGCACGGTGTGTTGGCTTAGTACACGGGTGTTGGAACCAGACGAGCTGGACACAGGCCCCAGCTCTACCACCCAGGAGTCCAGTGGGGCCCGGAGGGGACTTGATTTTCCCCATCTGTACAATGGGGATAAGAATAGTGCCTACCTCATTTGGTTGTTACGATAATTAAATTAGTCATTATTTGTAAAAGAGACAGAACAGTGCCTGGCGTAGTTCTAAAGAAGTCGTTTGATTTTTCTTAAATAAAATGGGTTTAGGTCCCAGCATCATCTCACAGATGCCTTTTGCAGGGCCTGCATTATCTTCAGCGGCAGAAATTGCGCCTGTGGTGGGGCATCCACTGGGGTGGGCCTCTGCCCTGTCCTTCCGGTTAGAGAGGGTGGCAGACGCTCTTGGGGGGCCTCCGCGTGCCCCAGAGACGATGAGGTAACGCTAAAGTCGCCGTGCCTGGCCTGTGTCTGGCTCCCCGGCCAAAGCACACTTCCTCTGCTCCCACACACTACAAAAAGCCTGTCGGCCATGGCCCACCCGCTCTGCCTCTGACCCTGCCCGCCACCACCCTCGGTTCCCATTTCCACATTGCCTCGCCAGACAGAGAAGAGTAGTTGCTGCGTCCCATGTCCCCTGGGGTCTGTCCTGCCCGCACGATCAAGGCCAGGGAAATGGCCTGCCCAGAACCATGACCAGCCCCCTCACTTCCTTTCCGACGGCTCAGCTCATCAGGAACCACGGCTCCCTTTAAGTGCTACTGGGTTGGGCCCGCCTCGTCTCGCAGAGGACACCAGTGGGTCTCGTGAGTGGCGAGACGGGCACCAGCTTCCGCTCCCATCTTCCTCGCATCCCTTCTGAAATGCACTCCTGGGTCTGGTGCTCCTGGGGGGCATTCTGCTCTGGGCTACGCCAGCAGACGCCACACACAGTTTCCCAGTGAGACGATGTGCATGGAGCACGTCCTCCACACGGCTCAGCGCACGCCAGCTTTGTGCCAGCCACGGGCCAGACACAGGGCCGGGACGAGACCACAACTCAGCCTGGACGTGAAGAGGCCCCGCCCAGCAGAAAGAAGGGGCCTGAACACCGCAAGCCCCAGGCAAGGGTCCAGGGGTTCACCTCTTACACTTTACCTCATGTCGTCTGCCCCACAAGTCTTAGTGCCTTTTGAGAGATGGGCAGCCTGTGGTGGGATGCAGAGTGAGGGAACTGCCCCGAGCCCCTCAGCCCCACAGAGCGATGGGGCTGCTCTCAGGCTCTGTTCTAGCCAAGTGCAAAGCCCATGAGCCCTTTAGGACGCCCGTCCGGGGCTGGCACTCTAAGTAGCCCAGCTCTTTCCAGACCTGGGATCTGAACTGCAGTTTCCAGCTATTTAACATGGAAAAAGGGAGGGATGAACAGGGGAAGCACAGGGAAATTTAAGGGCAGTGAACCTATTCTGCATGATTCCCTAATGGTGGACGCAGGTCATTATCCATCTGTCGAAACCCATAACACGTACAACACAATGAGCCCTAATGTAAACTATGGAAGTTTGTCAATAATAATACATCCCTATCAATCAGCTTATAGGTTGTAACCTGTGCCGCACCAATGCACAATGTCAATTAAGGGAAAACTGAGGCGGGGAAGATGGAGTACATGGGAACTCTCCGAACTTTCTGCTCAATTCTCCTGTAAATTTAAAACTGCTCTAAATAATAAAATCCGCTACATATATTGGTAATAGAAAAGAGAACGGTGTTCTTACGTCGTGATCACATCGGGTGCTAGCTGGGTCTCACGCCTGCTCCTTCCTTCTTCCCAAGTGTCCCCTGCTGCCCTGAGCTTCTAACCCTCTGCACGGGAGCTGCTGCTTCCTAGAGCCTTGTCGTCAAACGTGTGTGGCCGGCAGGAGACAGGTGGTCTGGACTTAGCAAGCCTGTTTTGGCATCGTAGCCTGGCTACTCCTGTGTCCCCTGCCCTTTCTCTGTGTCTGAGTGACTCGACTGATCCATAGCTCCTCCGTCTGGGCTGAGCCACAGGGAGGGGTTTCGTCCAAGGCCACGGAGACAGCGTGAGAGCCTTCAAAGCTCAGGCACGTGGGGAATGCTGGGAGTTCGAGCGAAGAAAGCAGAGGGAAACTACCCCTGCGAAACGAGCGTAAAAGACTCATCCTACCCAGGAAGAGTGTCTACACCTCCGAGGGAGCAAGCTAACGTATATTTCCTCTCACGGTTTGTCGCCGGGCATGTCATTCCGAGCTAGGGGCATGACATTTCTTAACCTCTCTGAGCCTCGTGGATTTATCTGTGAAATAGGCACGTGATGCCGCCTCACAGAGCGGCCTGGAGCATGAAACAAGGTTGTCCGGGAGAAATAGCCGGTAAAGAGAGGCTCTTGTCGAGCGTGACCTTCCTTCTGTCTTGCCGGTGGTTCTGCGTGAAGCGCGGTGAACAGGGAGCGCTGCGGTCAGGAATGAGAGGGCTCGAGTGTTCTGGAAGGGTCCTGTTCTTCCCCTGCTGGTGCCCCACCCGCAGCAAAAACAAGTCTGCCTTCCCAGAAGCACACGGATGCTCACTAAGATTACAGTCCGTGAAATCATGAGCCTCCGCCCCACCGGGGATGGAGGACATATGGAAATCTACTCTCCTCTGTCTGGAAATGCTCCGAGCCAAGAAGTCAGCCATGTCTGTGCAGAGCTCCGCCTGGCCACGGTTCGGCAGGATGCCGTCTGAACTTCGCAGACGGGGGCACACAGAAGGGGAGACTGACTTAAACCGTGGAAAGAGAACCCAGGCAAAGCGATTCCAGTGTCTCAGCAGCTGACCCTGCTCCCCCGCAGGAAGTCTGAAGTCTGTTTAACGCCCGCTTTTCCCACATTGGCATCTGGTCTCCTTTCGTGTCACCTTGCTCCCCATTTCCTGTTTGTTGTACAGGTCCGGAATCTTCTTCACGGCTCCATCAGCCCGCATTCCCCAGCACTCCCAGCTCTCACGCTGGAGGCCAGCCCCACCCACCCGCCACGTGCTGGTTGAGTCTGACATTCTGGGCCTGCCACCTCCCACCTGCCCAACCGCACTCAGCGGATGACACATTCCAGGTCTTAAGTGAGATCTTTGGAACGGAGACGAAGCTCCGTGTCCATCCTCGAGGGCTCACAAAGCCACCGCCATCTCCAAAGCCCTTCCCCATCCAGTAGGTCGCTTGAGCCACCCAGTAACTTTGGAAGTCGGGTAAAATTATTCTCATTTTACAGAGAAAGAAGGGGTTTTGTCCAAGGCCACAGAGACGACGACTGGCTCGCCGAATTCCCAGACCGGCAGGTCTGCCCTCTGCCAAGGCTGCCTGACAACCACCCTAGCCGGTCGGGGCTGCACATAGAGACGAAGATGTGGAAAGATGGCGATGGGATTGGCTTAGCTTCCATTCAGCCCTGGGGTCAAGGGGCGGGAAGAGGGTGTAACCAGGGGCATACCTGGGTCTGGGACTAGAGAGGACAGGCCAGTGTTCCCAACCAGGCCGGAAGCAGAGGGAGAACACGTCGCTGATGCAGCCCCCACTCCCGGTCAGAGGACTCCCTGGGGACAGACGAGCCGTGGTCCACGCCCTAGAGTTCCCCAGGCAGGTCAGCCCCGCTGGTGAGTCCTGGATCTGCTCTTTCCTGACCACGTGACCTTGAGCAAGTGTCTAACTTCCTGGGACCTCAACACACACACACACACACACACACACACACACACACGATAAGACATGCAGTGTGCTTAGAACATACACACACACACACACACACACGCACACACACGATAAGACATGCAGTGTGCTTAGAGCGGCTTCAGACACAAAGCTACATCAGTGGCAACTATCGCCTCCTCTGTGAGTATCAGCCTTGCTGGAGGGTCTCATGAGCGTGCTGGACATCCCACTGACGGCTCAGCTGGGCTGGAGGGGGGCCAGGGACCATGAGGGAAGGGGACTTCGGGGAGAAAGGGCTGAACACGCACTGAAGGAGCCTCAGTTCAGGGATCGGCAGTCTTCAGCCACGCCAGCGACTCACCAGAGCTCAGGAAGCCGAAGACGCCCACTCGGTAGCCAGCAGTGACCACGATGAGGTTGCCCACGGCGGCCAAGAAGGAGCCATCGAGAGCCAGGCGTCCTTCTCCCCCGCTGCCCTCCAAAGTGTTGTGGAAGAACACTAGCACGGACGCGTTGGGGGCCTGTGGGGGGAGAAACACGGATGCTAGAGGTTGGCGCATCGCCAGCCCCGGAGCTTGGTGAGGGCACCTTTCCCATGGAAGCGCCGGGTGCCGAGCCTTCACATGGCTCTTCCCGTCAACTCTACTCCGTCAACCCCGGGAGTGTGCTGTGGACTGAACCGTGTGCCCCGAATTTCACATGTTGGCGCCTTAAACCCTGGACCTCAGGGTGGTACCTGGCGGTAAGTCCTGTGCAGAGGTAAGTGAGTGAGTGGGCCCAGTGCGATACGACTGGTGTCCTATGAGGCGGCAATGAGGCGGGTGCCGAGCCTTCACATGGCTCTTCCCGTCAACTCTACTCTGTCAGCAACCCCGGGTGTGTGCTGTGGACTGAACTGTGTGCCCCCGAATTTCACATGTTGGTGTCTTAAACCCTGGACCTCAGAGGTTGACGGTACCTGGCGGTAAGTCCTGTGAAGAGGTAAGTGAGTGAGTGGGCCCAGTGCGATATGACTGGTGTCCTATGAGGAGGCAATGAGGACACACACACACACGGAAGGCCACGCGCACACACAGGGAGAGGACGGCCAT